CCCCAACCCCAACCCCAAACCCAACCCCAACCCCCAACCCCAAACCCAAACCCAACCCAAACCCAACCCCAACCCCAAACCTCAGGAGTGAAACAAACTGATAGAATTCCACTAGTATGACCAATTAATTTTTCTTTTAATTATCCTGTCTTAACATTCCAAAAATGGATATACTTGTCCAAACTACAAGATGCTAATGTAGTACCATCCGGAGAGAAACAGACTGATGAAATTCCGCTAGTATGACCAACTAATTTGTCTTTTAATTATCCTGTCTTAACATTCCAAAAGCAGATAGACATATCATCACTACCAGATGCTAACGTAGTACCATCAGGAGAGAAACAGACAGATTAAACATAACTTGTATGACCATCAAAAATGGCTTTTTATTTTCCTGTCTTAACATCCCATAAACGGATAGACTTATCCCAACTGCCAGATGCTAATGTATTCCCATCAGGGGAGGAACTGACTGATAGAACTCCATTACTATGACCATCTAATTTGGCCTTTTATTATCCTGTAATAACATACCATAAACGGATAGATTTATCATCACCACCAGATGCTAATGTTGTACCATCGGGAGAGAAACAGACACATTTAATTTAACTTGTAAAACCATCTAACTTAGATTTTTATTATTCTCTCTTAACATCCCATAAAAAAATAGACTTATCTAAACTGCAAGATGCTAATTCAGTGCCATCAGGAGAAAAACTCACTGATATAATTTCTCTAGTATGACCAATTAATCTGGATTTTTTTTAACTTGTCTTAACATCCCATAAACAGATAGACTTATCCCAACTTCCAGATGCTAATATAGAGCCATCAGGAGAGAAACAAACTGATAAAATTGCATTATTATGGCCATCTCATTTGGCTCTTTATTATCCTGTCTCAACATCCCACAACTGAATAGACTCATTTTCACTTCCTGATGCTAATATAGTACCATCTGGAGAATAACAGATAGAATACACCCAATAAGCATTAAAATCTAATATGGATTTTTATTTTCTTGTCTTAATATCCCATAAACGGATAGACTTATCCCAACTACCAGATGCTATTGTAGTACCATAAGGAGAGAAACAAACTGATAGAATTCCATCACTATGACCATATAATATGGCTTTCTTTAATCCAGTCTCAACATCCCATAAGCGGATGGTCTTATCATCACTACCAGATGCTAATGTAGTACCATCTGGAGAAAAACAGACAGATTAAACATAACTTGTATGACCAATTAATTTGGCTTTTTAGTATCTGGTCTTAAAATCCCATAAACGGATGGACTTGTCCGAACTACAAGAGGCTAATGTATTACCATCAGAAGAGAAACAGATTGATAGAATTCCACTGGTATGACCAACTAATTAATCTTTTAATTATCCAATCCCAATATTCCAAATACTGATAGACGAATCACTACTG